CCTTGAGGAACTCCACAGGTAACGGTTTCATCACAGCTGACATATTTGCCAATCCTAACCCTCTGTTGTCGATCCGTGAGAAAGTCAGTAAAAATTTTCAGTACTGTTCCTCGTATGCCATATCTCTCTATCTTCTCCACAAGAATGGGGATCGAGACAGTGTCAAATGCTTTAGCAAGATCTACGAAAACACCTACACACTTTTGCTTTTTATCAAGATTTGTTGTGACATATTCCATCAAAGATCCGACAGCGCATTCAGTGCTTTTTCCCGCTCTAAAACCGAATTGACAGCTTGATAGTAATTGATTTGTTTCCAAGTAATTTACTAGTTGATTATTTAAAATTCTTTCTAATATTTTAGAAAGCGCTGGAAGCACCGAAATTGGTCTATAATTAGTTACACTGTCTCGTGCCCCACTCTTGTACACAGGCGTTATTAAAGCTTTTTTAAACACTTTGGGGAAAATACCTTGTTCGAAACATAATTTAATTAAAGAAGTAAAATGTGGTACTATAATGTGTTTTGCCATTTTAAGGAACCTGTTTGAAATTGAATCCCAACCAACAGCACTATCATTTTTTAGGTTAACGATCAGGGCCTCAACTTCACTTTCATCAGGTGGTAGAAGAGCCATCGAGCTTAAGGTGGAAGATATATAATTACTGGTTGCGAGCGAAGTAGTACTTGGTGATTGTTTAATGTTGTTCGAAAGTAACATTCCAGCATTCGAAAAATATTTATTTACATCATCTACAGCGTCATAGGGGTTCTCTCGGATATTAAGGAGATACTCTGAAGTAGTTTTCTGATTATTAAAACCTGTAATCATTTTAACAGCAGACCACTTTTCCTTATTTGTTCTTGCATTTTCTAGCGCCGATTTTTCATAATTTCTTTTTAATTTCTTTAACAATGAGTTACAGAAATTTCGGTAGCGTTTATACGTTATTATAAGTACTTCATTGTCAGGATTTTTTCTTAGATTTTTATGCAATCTATCCCTATGTTTAATACATCGTAGTAGGCCGGGTGTAATCCACGGTTTCAAAATTTTTTTACGTGCGGGAATAGTATAACTAATAGTATTAGATTTTATTGCGGTTGACAATTTATTAACAAAAAGAGTTGCTGCCTCTTCAGCACTGCCTTTTGGGCAAATAAAAGAAAAATCAGTTGATTCTAATTGTTTAACAGCTGCTGAAAGGTCAGTTTTGGAAGTTTGGTTGCAGGAATTTTGCTTACGTGTATAGGATAAGCTAAGGATAACCATATCATGATCAGTGACTGTGGATTCTATTATTGTGATAATTGCTGGCAACTGAGTTTTTACCATGACATGATCCAGACAATTGTTTATTCTGGTTGGCAAAGTGTGTCCTGGGAGTAGACCTAATTCGGCACAAAGATTTAAATATATAGAACTATTTCTATCCACGTTATTTGGCTTAATATCGATGTTGAGATCACCAATAAGGATAATATTTTTACTTGTACAAGGACGTAGTAAATTGTCAAGAGATTTAAGAAAATTATCAATACAATGTATAGAAGGGGATCTGTATGCCGCTAGAATAGCAATATCACAGCCAATCAAATCAACCAATAGGAAGTTTGCACCTACTGGGTCCGGTTCTACAACTGTACATTTTATTTCCCTTTTAGTGTATAAAACAATGCCATCGTTTTGGTTGAGATATTTTTTAGAGAAATGACAAGAATAGTTTACTATTAACGGTGGGGGTCTATCTTCCGACAGCCAACATTCCGTGAGAATGATAATATCAGGTTCAAAAGTAAATCTAGAAAGTTGTACAATAAAGTCATCTAAATTTTTGTGTATACTTCTGATGTTTTGAGAAATAATATTAAATGATTTATTCATACCTTTAATTAATTTACAACAAGTTTCAGTATCGCATTTATATGATGAAGCTACCGAGAGTTTATCCAGATCTTGTATAATATTATTTAAAGTAGCCATTTAAGAAATATAATATTAATTAATATGTCGTCTAAATAAGTGACCGTATGTTGCAGCCTGCATGTTATAACTGAGAGACTGAGAAAACAAATATAAGCTTGTAAAATAGGATAAAAATATAGTTTATATAAATTATTACCAAACGGATTTAACAGACAGTGAGTGTGTGTTTGTGTGTGATAGTATGATAATATAACTATGTATAGTAATTTATTGTGGTTGTGTATATGAGTATGTTTATTGTGTGCAATGAAGTGTATAATTGAGGTGTAAATGTTTGTAAGGGTTGTGTGTAAAAAAGTATAATAGATTTTAACATGTATTAAATTTAATATAAAACTTATATTAATATATGGAACTAGTCATATAGAATTAGAGCATCGAAGTTTTTCAAAATCTGCTTCCGAGTTTACTCGAATTTGGGGGTCACCGGTTTTTTTTCGAAGATAAACAACACCACGGGAGGTCCAACAGAAGCTGTAGCCATAGTTTTTGTGTTGTGTTCTTGCAAGATAGTATAATTTCTGTGTTTTGTAGGTAAGGCATTCTGATATGTAAACCGGTTGTTTGACATGTTTGATTTTCAAGTGAGTAGTGTTTCTGTGTTTTGTAGGTAAGGCATTCTGATATGTAAACCGGTTGTTTGACATGTTTGATTTTCAAGTGAGTAGTGTTGAGCTTTTCACTTTTATCTTTATTCTTATTGAAGGTTTTTATGCCATTCATGACTTTTTCCTTGGCTATAACTGAGGTAAAATTGACATGAATGGGAGAGGAGTTGCCTTTTGTTTTAAATCTGTGCACATCCTTTAAATCAGTCTGAGTAAAATCCAAGTTCAAGCTTTGTCCCAGGTTCATGACTAAGCCGCATAGATCATCTTTTGTCTCTCCCTCAGTTTTCGGAACATTACGGATTTCTATACCTGTAGCCCGAGTTGAGCGCTCTAGCAGCTCTATTTTATCCTCAAGCTGTTGAATCAACTTTCTGTCTTCCCTCTTCTCTGCCTCCAAAGTTGTTATACGACTTAAAAATTCATCATACTTTTCGGACATCATTTCAACACTCTTTTTTAATTCGACGTTTTGTTCAATTATACTATTCATTTTACTCATTAAATCCTCGTAGTAACTCTCCTGTTTATTTGAAAATGCAGCAAACATGGTTCTATTTATTTTCTCCGAAGAATTCGAAACCGCCCCGTCAAACTTCCTTTTCTTCCGTTCCGTTATATTTGAGTCAGCAGATAAGTTAGGCGCGGAAGCGCACTGATGCAATGTAGATTCAAAGCAAAGCAATGTGGTCGCAGGCTCGTCTGTCCCCGCGACAGACGTCAGCGGGTGCGGTGAGGTGGGGGGAGTGCGGTTTATGGGCATGTTTCTAATGCTAATACAAGCCGAATTACCAGGCGAACAGAATAGGAGTAAAAATTACAAGTATATTCGCAGTAAGTTGCAGAGGTCAAGCTATAATGGAGGCGATCGACGATGTAGAACAAAATCGTTTTCCGTCCATTGTATGTAGACCTTTGGCGTGTACGCTTGATAGAAGTAGCTGTCAATAATTACGTTTTCTCGAGTGATTGTATATTAGTGCAATCCATCCTTCTATCTCGCTCGTTGGGATTTAGATGTGTGAATAAATAATTGTGAGTTACTCACAGCTTGGCTTTATTCATGCGCGCTGGCATTACTCGTAGATCCATACACCTCCTTCAAGTGTCTGTTGTCCTATTATTCTTATAGAATTTATTTAGTTAAAAATGTCATATTTTAATTATTTTTGGGCACAGTTTATTACGCAAAACACGTCTGTTCACTACAGGGGTCCGGAAGGAAGGGGATATATATAATACATACGAATACTCCAAAATGTTTACACCAAGAGTACGGCGCAAGAAAAGTTAGAAGTTATAGGCGAAGAATTTCCTATAAAGAGAGGCGTACGCCAAGGAGACCCTATCTCGCCTAAATTATTCTCAGCCGTTTTAGAAATGATATTCAGGAACCTAGATTGGATGAATAAAGGACTGAATATAAACGGCGAGAACCTAAGCCACTTACGTTTTGCAGACGGCTTAATCGTGTTCTCTGAGAACCCAAAAACACTAGAAATAATGCTGCAACAACTAGCTGATGAAAGTGATAAGGCAGCTCTAACAATGAATCTAACTAAAACAAAAATTATGTCAAACTCTTTACAAACAGACATAATAAAAGTGAATAATGAGCAAATAGAGTATGTTCATGAATATATTTACTTGGGACAGTTAATATCTACTGAAGACTGCATGAAAAAGGAAATAGAAAGACGAATAGCTAACACTTGGAAACGATATTGGTCACTTAGCGAAGTAATGAAGAACAAAGAAATACCGATGAAAGAAAAAAGAACGGTATATAATATGTGTATTCTACCATGCTTATTATACGGGTGTCAAACCTGGGCATTGACGGAACAACTGGCAAACAAAATAAAAGTTTGTCAAAACGGAATGGAGAGAAGTACAATAGGAGTTAAAAGAAAAGACCGAGAAAAGTTAAAACACATAAAAAGTAAAACAAAATTTAAGAATGCATACATAACATACAAACAACTAAAGTGGAGGTGGACTGGGCATATGACAAGAGAGAAGAAAGAAAAATGGACAAGAATAATAACAGAATGGTACCCACTAGACAGCAAAAGAAACAGAGGTAGACAGACTAAGAGATGGGAGGATGACCTCAGGAAAATAGCGGGTCCAACATGGTGTCGAATAGCAAAGAATAGGACAGAATGGAGATCTTTAGAGGAGGCCTTTGTCGGAAGACAAGTTGAAGATGATTACCGTTTGCCTAATTAAAAACGCTGTAACAGTTAATCATAGTAGTTTAGTTTAGTTAATAGCATATAACAGTTTATAGTATCACAGTTGATAGTGTATTAAATTATTAGTTAATAACAATGTTAAATAAGTTCTAGGCACAACTTTTTGTATTTAAACTCATCAACAATAAAGGCTTTTATTTATATTATTTATATTTATTAGATGTTATTTTTAAATTATTATTAAAAATTATATTTTTTAATTTATTAAGTAGATCTTGTATGACTTTTTGATATTCTTCCCGTTGCTTATTTTCTTCTTCACTTGTTGTAAAGGGAGTTTTATTTTCATTCTCTAAGTCTATATCAGAATCTGTAGAAAAATCTGCGTAGACATTTTCGGAAATTTGTACCCGTTTCTTCTTTTTCTTAGCACTAGGTTTTTTAACATTCTGAGATGGAGAGTCTGCTTTATGATTTTCTTGTGGCATTCTTAGAACTTCTGAATATGATGGGGACGCATCTATCGTACATTGGGGCATGTATACGTAATCCTTTGCAGAGGGAGTTGAATTTACTATCTGTGTATCTGGGGATGGGTGTACATACATACTAACCGCTTTTTTGTACGGGCAATTAAATTCTGACATAATTTCTCGTATTCTCTTTTCTTTTTTATATACGCTACAAATTTTTTCCAATGCCATGTGATTTCCGGAACAGTTCACACATTTATATACTAATGTATCACAATTAGGGTGGTTCTGAGTACATTTTGGACAAACAGGTTTATTTGATGGACACATCTTTTGTACATGGCCAAACCTCCAACATTTAGAGCATTGTGTAACGGGGAAAACATACTGTTCTACTTTCACTCTAAGATCTAGTATGTAAATATATCCAGGAAGATTAGAACCCTTAAATCCAATCTTAACAGTATCACTAGGAATCCATTCTTTTTCGAATCGACGGTTTAGTCTTTTAACTACAACTATTTCAAAGTCACAAGAAATATTTTTTATTATTTCTTCTTCAGACAACTCTGTATCAATATTTCTAATTATACCAAATGATAATCCAACTTCCCAGCTTTTTTGAAATCTCCATTCCAATTTTATAAATTCCTCACATGCTATTAACTTTTCCGCACTAGATTCATTACTGAAACTTACGTTAATTTTATATGGATTAATGTATTTTACTTTTATAACATCCAAAATTTTTTGTCCGCGGAATAATTTTGCTAAAGTAAACGCCTTCGGTAACATATTCTTACCTGTAATGCAAACTTGTATAAAATCACTCTCTGAACTATCCATTATTTTTGTTTTTTTCTTCGTGTGACTTACAACTTGTTGCCATTCACCACCATTTTCCTCATCTCTTATTCGTTTTCTTCCCAAATCATCCATCGTCTCCTCATATAAATTTGTTTGTTCCTCAAATGTGTTTATTCCAATATTGCAATAAGAATTCACTGTGTTAACATCTTCATTTAGAATTAAGTCCTCCGCCATGATCAATAAAGATCATTTTTGCTAGCTAAAATACGGACAGCGATAAGACGCACTCGCACTAATCGTTTCTCAGAATTAAAGAATAGTTAATTACTCCAAGCGATATGAATGCGTCGTGTTTACACCGCTCGCAACTTAACACTGATGCTTTAATATTTATTGATTTTCCAAACTGACATGAAAATAGAGTCTCATGAACATTTCTGAAAATTGAAAATCAACAAAATGTGTAATTGTCGAGATCTGTAATATATGCACTACGAATTTTTACCTATTAAATAGAAATCTATATTTAATAACGCGTGTTTCAAATTCCAGCACGGGCTTAAATCACACTTGATTACTTTTATTTATAGTTTATCTTATAATATTAAATAAGCAATTCTTGTATATATAGATAGATACACTCTTCATTGTATACACTACATACCTACAAACAAGCGCTACGAAAATAATACGCTAAGAAAAGATGTACAGTACAACAAGCGGTATATATAAAAATATTTCGTGTATCTCGAAAACGGCTCTACCGATTTTGATCAAATTTTGTATTTAGATATGGTTTGCTTTTTAAGTTAATGTAGATAGGTGTATTTACTGAAAAAAACCTCTTTTTTATATTATATTCAAAAAATGGCGAGCAAAGCTCGTTCGTCCAGGTATTAAGTACCTGGATGAACGAGCTTTGCTCGCCGGCTTTAATTAAGTAGTTTGTGGACATCTAAAGGTATACGTCTCGCTTTAACAATACGGATTTTATCGGCAGCATACATCAAAATATTCCTGGTATTAAAATTAACAGAATACATGTAATAAATGTATGTTCTTATGTATTTATTGTGTACCTACTTAACAAATACCTAAAAACACTAAAGATCCTTTTGGCCGAATAAATTTGTCTAACATTTTGAAGTAAATATACTGCATATGGCACACTTTGATGTTGATCACACTACATTTAAACAAATGACCAATGGCTTACTACACAAAGCCAGTCCCTAAGATACATAATACTAAGTTATAATTAGTAATTTTCTAATTTCAGTTAAATTTTACGACCGACCAAAACGTAGTTTACTTACAAAGACATCTTTAAAAAAGACAGCAGCGGCCTGTCAACATCAAGCCTTTGAATAAGAATGGGGTTGTAAAAATTTGAATTAATTCAAATGATAATATCGTCTTGGATAAGGCGGCGTCAGCAGAGGGTCGGTCATTCGTTTGTCACAGTTGATAGAACTTGTACCTATAAGAAAATGCTGTGTAGGTTCCTTTTAGGGTCCTGGTCATCTAATCAAAACGAATTACTAACAAAATCGTTAAAGTACGTATCATAGATGTTTATCTACTGAAAATTGAATTAAGCCAGTACATATAGTGAGGTGACCCGAGCAGGGATTGTGGCGTGAATAGATAAGTTCTAGTGTTGATAATTGTTTGTAGATTAGGGACAAATTTAAGAAATAAGTAATAAAGTTTGTCAATATGTTTTGGTTGTTTATATAACGAAGATGCTTGCTTTTATGAATTTTCATCTGTGACATAAGCAATAGAATGAAATTAAATAATCAATTATTTAGAACTACAATTTGTTCATTCAATTATCATTAAATAATATTATAAATGCGAAAGTTTGGATGAATGTTTCTTACTCAATCACACCAGAACGGCTGAACGGATCTGGATGAAATTCGGCACAGATATAGATTATAGTCTGAAATAGCACATATGTTCTTTTTTATCTCGGAAAAATATACTGTTCCCGTGGGATAGATTTGTTTTTGTTATTCACTAGGGAAGAACCCGAACGAAGCAAGAGCGAGTTGTAAGTTGTTATATATTTTCATTGAATAATTTTGTTAGTTATTTACTTGTCATTGAAATACTTATTGTCTTAATGTGGAAATTTTAGTACAATTATGTAAAAAATATTCTTGTACATTAATATGTACATTCTTGTACATTAATATGTACAAGAATATTTTTTACAATTTAGGAATAAAGTATTTTCATAGCATTGGAATTGAAAATCGTTTGATTTAAAAATTGATGAAAAATGATTGTCTTTTGATGCGTAGTATAACATGAATCATATGAGACAAGTTATATGAGAGTAAGTATTAGCCCTAAAAGCGGCCACACACGATTGGATATGTATACGCAGATTTGCTTGCACAATTAGACTGCGTAAGCCCTCTGTACAGTTTTGTTCAACTTTTCACTCGCGCTTAGAGTTACTGTTCTGTGTAGGCAATTTTGTGTAATGTTCTGTTCAGTGTAGGCAAAAATGTAAATACATGCTCTATCGTGTATGAGCACTTTAACATGAGCATAACAAATGATGAGGACGGCGGCGCGAGGCTTGCTCCGCGGATGTTACCACACGGATTTACTATTTTTCTTTTGTACACCACTCTTTACAGAACTCTTTCAATGCTCTAAATATTGCACTGAAATACAGTTGGTATGTGGGAGCTTTAAGTAATAATGGTTTGCATTAAGCTTACGATGCTTTTGGGGAAAATCATACTTGCATCACTATAGTATAAGAAAAATCTTGCATTTTTTTATTTACATGTGAATATGAATTTATTGTAAGATCCTGCAATATGTATAATAAGCAATATCATGACATCGACTTATTCAATAATGGGTTCAAAAAATTCGCTCACTTATTAAAAAAAAAAACATAAATTTTGTTAATGTTTAGTATTCTTGTTTTTTGTTCGATTTATTCCTGTTAATTTTAAGTTCACTTCGTTTATGTTTTTTTTAGTGGAAACTTTATTGGCTTAAGTTTTTTGTTTAGAAGTGTTTAACTAAATCTTATTTACTATACGCTGTATGTTTCCCAATGATAAATAAATAAAATAAAAAAATAAAAATAAATCTCATCTCTTAGGTTTTTGAGATGAATATGGCACTTCTACATTACACATACTTAATTTTTATAGTTCCGTACACGAAGGGTATCATGGGAACCCTATTACGGTGCCTCCGCTGTCCGTCTGTCAGAGTGCTGTACCTCATGAACCGTAATAGGTAGAGAATTAAATTTTCACAGAGTACCTATTTCTATTGCCGATATAACAACAATTTATAAAAATAAATGGAACGTCAATGAAACACGGAGTTGGAAAGCTGACTGATTTAATGTTCATGTTAATTTACCCACATACAAAATAATCACACAACACTTTTCCCCCCTTTTATTTAAATGTACTTTACATTTCCACCTTTATTTTAAGTTTATACAAGGAGAAACAATATATTAAAATTATTCTAAACAAAAAGAAAGTTCTACCTCTATAAAAAAAGTTGGAGAAACACAACTTGTAATATCCATAACAATGATATCATTAATATCTCTTATTCCTATTATAGGCACGTAATGCCCTAGCCGAAGCATCAGGTGGTGGTGGCGTAGGAGAACGCGGATATTGAGTTTGCTTAATTAACTGATCAGCTCGCACCTCCGTTCCACCTGAGGCATCATGATATGTATCGTCGGCATCATATGTAACTATATCTTTGTTCTCGTTATAGTTGTTCCCTTCGACTTCCGAACTTGGCAAACTCGTACGCGCGAGGGAATATCGATTTTAATTATCAACGTTGATTATTTGGTCTTGATGTCGACGCCACTTCAATACCTCTCCCACATCAACTTTATAAGACGAAGGTCCAGTTTTGTCCGTAACAACCCCTTCTGACCATTTATTGCTACTTGTTCTATAGTCACGAGCTAATACGGTGTCTCCTACTTCTATTAACCTATTTGTGCCTTTCTTATTCTCCAGTTGGCGATTTTGTGCTTCCCGGGCTATTACAGCTCGATCAGGGCGAATCGCGTCGAGACGTCCACGCAACCGATGCCCTAGTAAAGCCACTGCCGGTGATACTCCAGTAGTCGAATGTTCACAATTTCTATATTGAAATAAAAATTTATTTATTGCCATCGATATATCCTCTTTTAAAAAAACCGCTCTTTTAATTATTTTTTTTATTAGTTTAATGGCATTTTCAGCCGCGCCATTACCCTGAGGTCTATATGGTGCCGTCGATACATGTATAATACAATTAACAAGACAGTAATTTTTAAAGTCTAAGGAAGAAAACGGGGGACCATTATCCGTAACAAGTTGCGATGGATGTCCGAATCTAGCAAAAGTCGTACGTAACACAGCTATTGTCGCTTCGGCGTCAGTGCGGCTCATAATAAATACTTCGACCCACTTCGAGTGTGCATCAATCATTATAAAATATTTTTTTCTCGCATATTCAGCAAAATCCGCTTGAATTCGCTGCCAAGGGTGCAGAGGAAATTTGCACGGGTGTAAAATAGCTTTAGGTGGAGCAGCGCGAACTATACGACACGCGTCACAGTTACGACATAAATTTTCGATATCTTAATCTAGGCTTGGCCAGTATCGTGCGTTCACCTTGTCGTGGTGGAGGAGCTCAGTAGTACCCGGCAACCCAACCGGGCGCGAAGCCAAGAAACGCACAGGGAGGTGGCCCACTTCGGTGGGCGGTGAGAGATGGCCCTCTTCGGAGGGCGGTGTATCATGCGGGTTGCTCCTGGTACTTCTCTGATAGCAGAGTGGACCTTGGAGCAACCCCGTGGTTGTTGTGGTCTGCTTTGGCAGACCTGCCGTCGGGGCGTCGTAGTTGAATGCGTAAGCGATCCTGCGACGCCCCATTAAGACGGGGGAAGGCTTTGTTGGGTTTTAGTGGGTAGTACTGGCTTTGCCGGTGAGTCCCACACCTCGTGCGTAAATACATTTCCCAACGTTAAAAAAAAAGGCTTGGCCAGTATACATAATTTCGTGACAAATTTTTCATTTTATTAATACCCAAATGACCTTCGTGAATTTCTCTTAGTAATTTTTTACGTAAGGAGGGTGGCACTATTATTCTATATTTGCTAATAAGACAACCTAAGTCTTATACAATTTCATTTTTACGTATAAAATAAGCCTTTTCCTCATCACAACTTGCTACCGATGGCCACCCGAAAAGAATATATCCTACGATCTTACTTAACACTAAGTCTTTTTTAGTTTCACGACTAATATCTTTGAAATTAACAGGCAGTGAGTCATCAATAAGTTGTATGTAACTTAATGAATCTGAGGTGGGCCGTTCATATGGCAGTGGTAAGCGAGACAGAGCATCGGCCGGCCCGTTCTCACTTGAACGTACAAACTGTACTGAGAAATCATACGCAGACAAGCGCGCCGCCCATCGTTGATATCGACTGGCAGCTGTTTGTGGGATACCACATTTTTTTCCAAAAATATAACTAAGCGGTTGGTGATCGGTTTTTAGAATAAATTGTCTTCCATAAAGATACTGATGATGCTTAATAACACCAAAGAAAATTGCGAGCGCTTCTTTATCAAGTTGACTATAATTTATTTCTGCTTTATTTAATGTACGCGATACACAACTGACTGGGCGTTCGCTGCCGTCAGAATAGCGGTGTGCTAATACCGCGCCGAGCCCGTAAGCGCTGCTGTCCACTGCCAATACCAACGGTCTTCCCTCTTCATAATGAGCTAAAACTTTATCGCCCGTAAAGGCACGTTTAGCCTCAACAAAAGCTTTTTCACAAATGACATCCCATTTCCAGGCAATATTTTTTTAAGCTATTGCATAGCTTCTATCGCGGGCCTTGAGCGTGGGGACCGAATTCAGAAATTCCGTAACGAAAAAAACCTGACACCCCCCACTCCGACCGGCACACCGGTGATACTTTTTAGTTTTTCCATCTATCGATAAATACCAGAACTTTTAATGACTTTTTGAAATATCACGCTTGTCTCTTTAGTTCAGCAACCCGCCTTTAGGTGGCATTGGGTGTATTGGAAAACTACCGTAATCAGCTGTTTGTGAGAAAGTATATAAGTGTATAGGTATTTATCATCTATGTACAACAGTGAATATCTGTACTCGTATAATTTGTGTACAAAGTGTTTTAAACATGAATAAACAAAGTGCATTTATTAATGAAGAAAGTCAAGGAAAAAAAATACTGAATTAATAAAATAAATAAATAATTATAATTGCATAAGTTGATAAAAAATGCTATGCAATAGCTTTACCGCAGCAGTCTCCGAGTGCCACATTTAATTTTAATAAATTATGCATTGGATACAATAAAATACTAAGGTTTGGTATAAATATACCATAATAGTTTAATAAACCTAAAAACTTTTTAACTGAGAGACATTCTGGGGTCACGGGGCCTCCCATAAAGCTTCTAATTTTTGTTTGTCGGGATGAAGACCAAGTTTGTCTGTAATAAAACCTAAATATTTGACACTGAATTTTAAGAAATTACATTTGCTAAGTTTAACGGTAAAGTCCATATTACGTAAACGTTCGAGCACCGCGCGGAGGTTTCTAATATGTGCCTGCCTATCCGAGGCCGTGACACAAATATCATCCAAAAATACTACGGTACCGGGTATCCCTCGTAAAGTCTCTTCCATTAATTTTTGAAATTTCTCAGGAATACACGACAATCCAAAAGGGGTACGGCGATATACAAATGTTCCGATATGTGTCGTTATAGCAGTGTACGGTTGCGAATCAGGCGATAAAAGGATTTGTTGATAAGAATGCTTAAGGTCGATTTTAGAAACTTCCTGACCGCCGCTAAGTACCGCGAATAACTCCTCTATTCGTGGTAAGGGATAATAGTCTCGTTTTAGTTTTGGATTAATAGTAATTTTATAATCACCGCAAATTCGAATCTCGCCACATTTCTTAACAACCGGGACTATAGGCGTACCGTAAGCCCAATGATCAACGCGGTACGTATATCCCTCTCGCTCGAGACGCTCGAGTTCACTGTCGACGCGCTTACGCAATGCTAAGGGAACATAAACCGGATTCTTATTTATCAGCTGTAGTTCAATATGTTTTTTACAAGTGCCTAACTTATCTGTTAATACTTCGGGATATTCGATAATTAATTTTTCAACTAAACTATCCTCTTAGATTTCTTTCAAAGTTATTTGCTTAATTTTAAGCGCACGAATCCAATATCGACCCAATAGAGGACGCGATCCATTTTTTATAATATATAAACTTAATTTTTCTGCCTTAACACTACCTAACGATACATTGACATATATAAAACCCATAGATTCAATTTGTAAACCAGCGTATAACAGCGTTAAAGTAAATTATTGGATATAATTGTTTTTTGTGTAAATATCTTATTAAATAATTCTTGACTAATAGCGGAAATACGGCTTCCAGTATCTATCTCAAATTCTAATAAATGCTTATCGACAATTAACTTAAATAAATAAGGCTTATTACCTTTGCTTATTAACTCAATATTAAAGATATCTTCCTCCTCGGTACTACTTCCGTCTTAAACATAATTATTACGATAAAACGGTCGATTATGCACTTCATCACACATCACTTTTAAATGGCCTTTTTTATGACACTTATCACAACTGTACTGTGCAAATCTACATTTTGAAGCGTGGTGAAGCTTCCCACAACGCCAACACCGCACCTCCGCAGCTTCCCGGACACGCGCCCTTCCAGCGCCAGACACCGGCCTAGCTGACTTGAGCCCCACGCTCGATTGAAATAAGCCTTCGCTTGCTTCGCCGCCTGCACCGGAGGCCGATGTCGGTACAGCCGTTGCGCCGCTCACCTCCGCGTGCTTCTCTGCAGCCTCTAGCGCCAGAGCCAGGTCCACTGCCTCCTTATATTTTATATTCCGTTCAGCGAAAATTCTCGAACGCATTGCTTCATTTACCAAGCCCGAAACAGACAGTTATTAATAACGGCACTTGTAGTTCGTCTTTTATCTCGTTCAAAATAATATATTGCTTAACTCGTCGAATATAAGCTGGCCATTGATTTGAATTAAGGTCGAAAGGTTCAAGTTTTCCTATCGGCATTTTAAAATATAATTTCTATGCGTGCTAATTAAAATACACCTCGTCGCCAATGGAACGTCAATGAAACACGGAGTTGGCTAGCTGAATGATTTAATGTTCATGTTAATAAAATAATCACACATAACCATAAATAAAAATTAAAATACTATTTTGTATACTAAGCTGTATAAGTTATTATAGTTTTTTAACTATCCCAAGGGAACTATTTAATTTTCCGAGATAAAAAGTATCTAAGATGTTGCCCAGGGATATAAGGTACCACCATGCAAAGTTTCATTTAAATCGGTCCAATAGATTCGGAGATTAGCCCGTACAAACAGACAAACAGACAGAGAAACAAAAAAATTGAAAAAAAATCTGCATTTGTTCTATTTGTCTTCTTACATCCCTCTGACTCGGTTTTTAGCATTTCTTTACTATATACAGACATTCGATCTCTACTCTTTTATTATAGTATAGATATCTATTTATAGGTATAGTTAAAAGTGGATTATTTTTCAGTGATCTCTGCTGAACTTGATCTGATTTCACAAATCCTTGACTATCGAATTAGAGTAAAATTTGTTATATTTATCATCGTAACACACAAACGTAGTCATAAACTGTACCTCGTGTTCAATATAATTATATGCATATTCTGTAAAGTGCACAGAATCTTGTATTACATAAGAAAATAAACAAATACCGCGTCCCATATAGATGTCCCATTAATAATTCCTCCCGCGACGGAGGACGTCTGCGATATATCGCGGTAGAGACGCTGCTAAAATGAAATATTATTCTAACAAACTTACGAATATCGTACCGTCACAGGCATGGTACTCATGTAAGACTAGCGACTCAACCTCGCCTCGCTCGGGTTCGTCCATAGGTACGTTTTAACGGTTAGTACAGAATAGACTTTATTATACGCACATACATTGGTATAGGAAAATAGGTAGTATTTAAAAAAAATATCCCTTAATTGAGAAATGATTGATCCCCATACAAACTCCACCCCTCTTTTCATACCCTTAGGTGCTGATTTCCGGAATAAAAACTATTGTATGTCCTTCTGAAGGTCTCAAACTAGGATTGAGCGTGAAAAGGTAATACAAAGACAGACAGACACAGCAGACAGATACAGACAGACAGACAGAGTTACTTTCGCATATTGGTATGAATAAGTAAAATGGAGATGTGATTTCCAAATATTTGTTGAAAGGTGAATAACCTTTTATACCTATAAGATCAAAGATTGTCTATATTTTCAAGATAGCATTTGGAGCTCCTGTAAATATTTTTACGGGATTCATATTTTTTTTGTATTTATGGTTGTATTATTCTCTTTTTGTACCTTCTAATAACAAGAAAGGCTGAACTAATTTTACCGGATTCGAAATATTCTAAATCATAAGATATGTATATGTAGACTACTTTTGATCCTTGATAAAATGGTTACTCATAATACTTTCTTAGATTTACGTGAATATTTGACATTTTAAATAAAACTATCTTTTCGGATTTTGTCGCGGATTTATTTGTATTTTTGTTTCCCGACGTTTCGAATGCTTTACAGCAATCATGGTCACGGGAGAGACTGAGATGTTAGATGTCTCTAAGGTATTATGATAATGATGGATGATGATGTTCTCCTAGCCGATTCCGGCCACGGCGGCCAATCTCAATGAGATTAGCCAACTGCGCAGGAGATATTATAGTGCTCAAGTGTACGCGCAGACACAAGTGCACTCTCTATTCCTATCACTCTCATACTCCGGTGGGACGACCACTCGACACAACCGGTGAGAGTTAAGGCGCAGGACCGACGGCTTTACGTGCTCTCCGAGGCACGGGGGTGAAACACCGCCAACTTCCCAACTCCGGGCTGTTACTGAGACTTACTATACAGGAAGACTCAATAACTAAACTTGGCCCGACCCGGGACTCGAACCCAGGACCCCCGGGTGTGCAGCCGTACATGCTAGCCACTACAAGGTATTATATAGTTCTTACAGACAGCCTACCCAAAATTAACAAAATGAATTCAAAAAATTGAAAAATGGCACTAAAGTACCTTACAATATTTTAACTTTTAACTTTAAACATTTTTATATAATTTTAATTAGCTTTATAATTGAATATAGAATATTATTTATTTAATTTGAGCTGTTATTATTATAATTATTACAATTTTAAAAAATATTAATTACTAATCTACATTTTTAGTGTTGCCATTATTATATTTATAACCATAAAGAAAAAATCATAATATATTAATTAATTAAGCCACAATTGATATATGTGTAATTTGAAAAAGTTAAGATTAATTAAAAATAATAATTTTAATTTAAATTTGCTATTATTTAAAAAACAAATTATTAAGCAACACATTACTACATACATTTACAAATGAAAAAGTGAAAAAATATTATTAATCAGAAATGCTATCATTTTGATCTACACAGTAAGAACTTACTACATCTACCTGTCTGTTATGTTTAGATTTATTATTAGATTTTATTATATTAATAACAGGATCCCATGACGATGGTAGTACCCAGCCATCTTCCCTATTGAAATTAGGATGTTTTTTAATTTCTATGGCTTCTCGAATCATTCTAGGGCGATATCGGTTTTCTTTCGCCAGGATTTGAGGTCTATCGAAGCGAATTACTATATAAATTGGTAATGATATGAAATAAACTAGACCGAGCTCGTTTATTTCATATCATTACCAATTGATCCGATGTAATAAAACTTTAATACGCACACCACGGAAAACGATTACCGCAACGTATATTGCTCCGCTCAAGCGACACTATTCAATGCCTCGCACAAGCCTCATAAAGAAGGATTTAATTTCTCGCTCATTAGTATGCAAGACAAGAAACGTGCTTCGAGTTGTAAAGAACATTTTAATTAGCCCCACATCCTCGCACGCCCGCTCCCGACCCCGACCCTGAACCTTCACCTGCGGTGCATAACGTAATTAAATGTTCCTGGATTCTTCATAATGCGCTATTATATATATATATATATATATATATATATATATATATATATATATATATATATATATATATATATATGTATTCAGCCCTTTTTAACGTCCCACTGCTGGGCACGGGCCTCCCTTCAGTACGAGGGGGATCAGGCCATAGTCCACCACGCTGGCCAAGTGCGGATTGGCGGACTTCACATGTCTTTCGAAAACTTGCAAGGTTTTCTCAGACATGCAGGTTTCCTCACGATGTTTTCCTTCACCGTAAGGCAAGTGGTAATCATGTTAGAAATGATTCGCACATGAAAATATCAGAGGTGCGAGACCCGGGATTTGAACCCGCTTCACTCGGTTTCCCAAGCGAGCGCGTTACCACTGGGCTACCACTGCCTATATATATATATATATATATATATATATATATATATATATATATATATATATATATATATATATATACTAGCGGCTCACCCTCGCTTCGCTCGGGTTCACCTCTAGAAAAGCAGAAACAGAACGTTCACACGGGAACCGTTCATTTTTCTGAAATGATAAATTTTCCGGATGAAAGTAACCTGTTGTTTGACCGGCAATATAAGGTATCAGCATGCCAAATTTTACTAAATGAGGAGGATAAGTTGTTGTGTACTAAGCTGTATAAGTTACTATAGTTTTTAAGCTGTTGCATGGATTCTATCGCGGGCCTTGAGCGTGGGGACCGAATCTAGAAATTCCGTAACGAAAAAACCTGACACCCCCCACTCCGACCGGCACAGCGGTGATACTTTTTAGTTTTTCCATCTATCGATAAATACCAGAACTTTTATAATAATAATAATAATAATAAGCCCCCTAAAATCCAACCATACGTCCGAATCGACCATCTGATTCACGTAGGGGGCGGACACGTGACAATATATTACTGGCACGGCTAACATGGCTATGGTAACCCTTTAATGGAGAACATGGAAAATAAGAGATATAGTTTACGGCCGCTACCCGGGGGTCGCCGGGGCGCATCTGGAGCCGACGCTGGATGCTACAGCATGCGAACCGTTGGCGACGGGGGACTGAGCAGGCGGGTTCCCCTCGAACAAAATGCTACAGCCGACCAATCACCTTCATTATCTCCTTCCTCATCAAATCATTCTCTCTTCACAAATATACCGTCACCTTCTTCCACTCATACTCTATTTCACTCATCCAATTCATCACCATCATCTTTATATTCATCACAAACAAGGCCAACAGCTGTTGTGCAGGAGGCAGCTGCCACTAACTCTGTACCCACTGCTGGCCCTTCACGTGCGCGAAAAAAATGGACAGAAAGTATGAACCGCTTCATATGGCGCACATATCTTAACATAACAAAATGTGAAACTATACTAATGAATAATTATTTGGAACCACTACACCAAGAATTCAACACTAAATTCCCCGAAATGCAAGTAACACGACAGCGTATAGGAGATCAGCGAAGAGCGATATTAAGAAGGAAGCTATTACCACAAAGTACATTAGACGAAATGAGAGATGAAGTAATGAACCTGTTAAAAACCGAAAATCGTTTTCAAACACAGAGTTCTAACCAATCAACCGATAAACTTCCACCGACAAACACTAGAATGCGATGGTCAAATGAACTCAATGAAGAAATTGTTAGGTGCTACTTTGAGGTAACCAAACTAGAGACCAATAAGACCGGTTATCGAAAAAATTTGTTCGAGTTATTTATAGCCAGACACCCACACTTATCACACCTCACAGAACAAAGAATTGCAGACCAAAGAAGATTAATATTTAATAACAAGAGTATAAACACTGATAGAATTAATGAAATAAGAAGAGAAATAGAACAAAAAC